CAGTGCAGTCATTTTGACTGCTTTTGGGCAATATAGGTATATACTAAGTTTCAGTCTTTCTAGTGTTAAGCACAGGGAACGTAAACGTTTCGAATAGAATAAAATAAAATTAGTAATGGATAGAGAGTTACTCACAACAGCAAACCACGTGGTCAATTCGAATCTTGCTCTGATCACTCTCCAATCACCTCGGCTGTGTTTACATCGTTCAACGAATCACAAACGAATTTTTCTACCAATTTCACTTGTGCTTTTCCAAAGAGACAAATTCAAATAATTTTATCGCTTTTGTTACTTGACTTTAATTCGATCTTCAAGAGCACTTTGCGAAATGCTCTTAACGAATGTTCGGAAGCGTTAAATGGTTCAATGACGGGTAACAAGTCGATGATTCGGGATCAATGAAACATCGTCGCAGGCGAGAACGGCTGAGACTGAAAATCTACCGGATCACAAGGCATTGACTATCTTTCAGGCCCCACCACCGCCGCGTCTGGGTGTAGGGAGTCCGCAAGAATCGCGGGTGGGTGCTCGCGAGGAAACGTGACGGAATGGTGTGTAATATCACTGTTTCGTGACTTTGTGGCGAAGCGACAACACGCTGGTACTAGTCCTAACTACAGTGTCAACATGATCTAATACATAATGGGACGAAACAATGATACCGGATAATAGGTGTTAATTGACGCTCGATGATAACCACCGTCGATCCTGTGAATCGTTCGTTACTCATCGTTCTAGAACGCGGAGCATTTTAAAGGAAGTCGCGTGTTTGATCTTGACGTTCGCGCGATCAATTTCCTTTCAACACTTTTTATTGAAATTGACGCGTTTAGAAACACAGCTCAAGCGGCCTGAGACTCGTACAGCTGAATCGCATTGCTAGATCTAATCAACAGTTTTACGATCGATGTTTTGAATGCGTGTTATGAGTAGCTCTCGGGGGGAATGTGGAAATTAAAATGCATTTGTAAACCATAAAACAACAGTTGCATGTATTATTTCACACGTTACAGGAAGTACAGAAAGAGAAGTTGATTGTCAAGGTTTATGTTAGTAGATAGTTACACACATATAAACAGTACACACAAACAATATAGATATATGTACATAGATCAATGATAATCTATTTATAAATTTTCCTCAGGAAGTTTGTGTATAAGGTGTCCTAAACTTACAGAGGAAGTCCAACCCTCTGAGATTATGCTTTTGAGAACGAATCTTATTTTCATTCCGATGCCATAGACAAAATAATGGTAATGACTATAGAAAGAATTATCTCTCGAGCATAAAGCATAGGACTGTTTAATACAATTCGAATCTGGCACCTTCTCAATATATTTACTTCCCTTAAAACAAGCAGTTTTAATATTATTTTGATTTCATTGGAAGCGTATCTATTGCGACCAAGTTCATACTTTTCATGTATGTATCGACTTTATGGCATTTAATAATAAATCATGTTACGTGAATTGACTTCTAACAAATTTCCTATTAACCCGACAAAGACATCGTGAATGATACCTGTTGTACCTGATAGTTCCTGGAAAATATAAACCAGTGGAGCTAATCGTTCGAGGAAAACTTGCTTGTCCTTTCGTATCGATTTTGTAATTTCACGACCTTTAAATGTAACAATGGACTTGTACTTGAAACATTATGAAATGTGTGTAGGTAATTTTCTATGTATTTTTATTAGTGTACTTTATACTTGTGTCAGTAGTTTTAGCCGCAAGTTTTTACGTGTGTAAGTTTAGGATATCTCATATAGAAACTTCCTGAGGATACGATAAGGATAATATCATTGATTTTTCTATAAAAACAGCAGGAATTGTATAATGATTTATTTTTTCTATCGTAAAGTTACAAAAAAAGTCATTAAGTTAAAATGAAAAGCGGTTAAAGCGATTAATGTTGATGGGTGTAAAGTTAATAGGCAGCGACAATGAAAAACAATACGAAATGATAGGGCTTCTCTTTGATTTGAAAAGATCACGTGAAACGGAAGAAACAGCTGAATTTCGTGGCCCGCCAGGCTTAATTAATTCATAATTAACCCTGTTGAGCTGCCTGAATGAAGTTGAGTCTCGGGATTCGCTGGATGGAAATTCCTGAGCCGGCCGGCACGAGATTAAACCATGTGACTAGCCCTCGTGACATTACTTGCCGTCCTCGATTTTTCGACTCATCGGCTTCCGGTATAAATAAACCACTTGATATTTAACTATCTACAAATATCCAGACGCTCGTTCCACGACCTATGCTCCCTGCGTTCCAACATTACTCAAGCTCTTCTAATTACGTTCATATGATAACTACTTGTTTTGTTTCTGAAACAAGAATTCCGTGCTGGAAAAAAAAGAGGATTGAAAAAAATTACAATTGGCAGAAGGTCGACGTAGAAAAATAAAATAAATCGATATATCTAAAAAGAAAAGTATAGAAAGGGCAACGACTACGAAACGGAAACAAGGGATGCGGTAATAATGAAAAACAATACATATTTAAAAGACTGCAAAACGGCTATGAATCAATAAAAGAGGCTCAGATTGCCTCCCACGTAAGCGCCGGCAGTGTACAAACAGCGTGACTGCTATCACCAAATCGACATTAATATTGTTGAAAGTTTCAACACGTTACGTCATTCAGAATCTGGAACACCTTTGACCACCACCGTGGACGTTCCTCTAATCGAATGGCCGTGCTCGATCTAAGGTCAGCGAAATTAAATAACTTCCACGTATGTACGTTATCTCGTTAATGCTCAGCAGAACTTCGAGGTTAGGTTTTGTAGAAGTTCTATAATTCTGATATGATAGTGTCACGTGTCCACGACCATTCTTCCGATTAAGCAAACAGGGGATAGACGACGAGAAGCCGTGACACTGACTCACCCTTGTTTGCTGTCTCCTTCCTGGCGAGAGGTTGCTGAAGATCCCCGGTCTTGTGGCCGCCGCACATTTTCCCACCAGGAACGCGCCTCTCGTCGCGGTTCAAACGCTCACCGGCATTCTTTCCGTGGAAGATGACGTCCAGTCCAAGGATCAACGGATGTCATTCGACACGGGACACGCGTAAAACACGTCCGCACCACTTACGATCAGCGCAATCGTGAGCAGCCCGACCGACGCCTCCGCGCTCGTTGCGGAGCAGAAGCGCTCGCCGTAGTGAACAGGCGTAACGGTCACGTGACGTCGCATCACACGCTCGCTCTCACCGCGCCGATCGATTCGGAACGATTGCGTGGTCACGCGCCCCGCGTTATCCGTCGGCTAAACATTGCTATAACGCTCTGAATGCTTTCATCGCTTTTTTTATTTCGATCTGACGCGGGGAAAGGATCACGAGAACACGCGGCTCGACAAGGCCAACGAGAAATGACGACATTCAACGCGCGGGGGTGCTAATAGGGTGAACATTGCAATCTTCAATATGTAATTTGTATATGACGTAACAATGCAGATATATTTACTTAACAATATGATGTACGTTAATTAGTTCCTTCAATTTAAAACGAAGTAAGCGAACACGATATCATTTTATAACCGTTGATAGGATTTGTGCAATCAAGGCAGGGTTGGTTTTAAGGGATGCAGGTATATTGAGAAGTAACCGCTCTGTCGATGGCCGGTATTCAGAATCATTGCTTATTTTTAAGCATTTTTCCTCAAGGCGATCTTAAATATAAGTAACAATTCTGAATATCGGTCTGAGTAAATTAGCCGGGGCGGAGAGAAGTCGTCAGTATAAATTAAAAACGTATGAATATGCCAGATTATAAATTTAAGAAGTGATATAACGGTTAGACAAAAAGAAATACGAAAGAAAGGACGAAACAAATACAAGAAACAATAACATTTATACTGACGACGAATAAAAATAGGGCATAATAATAGGAAATGATAATAAAAAGAAATTTAAAAAGTAATTACACAAAATAGTTATGAAATATGAGGCAACAGTAATTTACCGAATAAGAGATTCGCTTCGTCATCATTATTTTATCTATGATATGAGAATGCGTCTATATATGCAAGATTCTCAAAAGCATGATTTCATTGGACTTTCCCTCTCGTTGGACTTCCTCTGTAAGTTCAGAACTTCCTGACGATACGATGAGGAAAATTTATAAAAAAAATCATCATTGATTTTTTATACATATCTATAGGCATGAATAAACCATATGTTAATTAACATCGCGATTCAAGATTATGTAAATAGACATTTTGTTATCAGTACGAACGCGTGACTCACACGTGTACCTGTTTAAAATGGGTCAAAGCCGTCGCGGCGAAGGCCTCGCACTTTCGCCCGCTGCATATTTTTTTTTTTCCACCTTTTTAACCGGCATTTCATGCGTTTCTTTTTTACTCATTTTAAGGATTCCACGCGTCTCGATCGGCGCGAAGTACAGCGACGGGCGCCGATTGAAATTCTTTTGCGCGAGCAACGACGTGAATTTCGCGACGAAGAGAGAGATTTCGAGACATAGAAAGAATACATATATATAGAGTAGGTAAAACATACGGTCCCGTGTATGGTATATATATAGAAAAAGAGAAAAGATCACAGTAGAGATGCTATCTCTGTTTAATGATTTCAATTCAAGAGAGATAACGTCGCTACCCTCATCTGTTCTCTCTCGCTATCCTGATCTTTCCTCTCTTTCCGTTTCGAGGTATGTCGCGCAACAGGAAACGCAACATCGGCGAACGTTAACTTCGCATCGATCGTTCGTTCGATCACAAGCTGTCACCATCTGCGGAGTTCACGATCGATCCCTCTTTACACCTCGTGTACCTCGAATAGAACAGCCGGGACAGCATTTCGGCACATTTAACATAAATTCCTCATGTGAATGCTGGCAAACTCGTCCTAAATGTCGTCATATACACAATGAGCCAACAGGACAATTCCTCCCAACCACGGAAAAAACTTGCAAAGTGCTCCGTAGCGTCAAGTCACAAGTAAATCACCGCCACGTCTCAGCGTCCCGTACCGACAGCGAACTCCCATTAACAATTGGCGAGAAAAAAAAAAAAAAAAAAACGGCTTGGACGCGGTTTCGGGGGACGATAGAGAATCCCTAGGTTATACTTTCAAACGTCTTCGTTGTCTGTCCGTCAGGCTTAAACGGATTTCCTCGACGTCGACTTACATCGTCGACGATGACGAATGCGTGGACCGCGTGAAGAGCACCTCGTTGGAGAACACGAGCACCCTACTTCCCAGAGACCGTCAGAAGGACATCAGTCGCATCGAGAAGAGAATCAACAGAACGGTACTCGCGTATTTCCTATCACTCAATAGCATTTCGTAATCCTCTTCGTGTTGGCTCGCGCAGACATCTAGCACCACGTACAGCAGTGGTAGGAAATTTTGGAATTGCCACGCGAAGCCTATGAGTCTTTACGTGCCGGATGACTCTGTGATACAAGAAGGTAAATCATGATCCTCCGCTTTCGTCGTTGGATTAATTAAAAACTGGGAATTCTGTTTCGATCTTAAATTAATTGATTTTGTCAGAGAGCGAATTGATCACCACGTTGACGAAACAATTATACAAGGTCGAGTCTCAGATGCAAAAAGTGCAGTCAGATCTGAGGAGAAGCGACGAACAGTTGAAGGCGAAGGATCAGGAGATCCATCGACTGAAACGAAAGGTACTTCCCCGTCACCTCCTCCCTTTTTTGTCTCACCTTGGGGATGTACTTATGTAGGTGAAGGATTGGGAGACGAAAAGCAAGACCCAAGAGATCCAGCGTAAGAAGGAGCAACAGCAACGACGGATTCAGACCGACCACTCCGAGTACCTATACAGAAGATGTCTGATGCTCGAGCAGAGGATCATCGAGATGGAGGTTAATTCGAGTCTGATAATGATACACGGTTCTCCGTCGCGTCGTTATCAACGACGAGAATTCCTCTGTCTTCATTACGTTTTTCCAGAAATTCTTGTCCGACTACGGTCTAGTCTGGGTCGGCGATACGAACGGTCCAAAGTGCCCTGAAACGGCGATCCCCAAGTAAATCGAATATAATCGATACTACACCGAGCGATCGGCACCCGATCGAATTAATGATCAGGTAGCTCGTGCTTTTTAGCAACACCATCGAGACTTGTTACGAGCAGATAATAGCGAGCATCGACCAGCTGAACCTGGCCGCGGGAAAGGGCGAAGTTCACGTACAGCACAACGAGAGAGGGAACGGAGCTTCGTTCAAAGTAAATCTCTACTTTGCAATGCTTTGAAACAGGAACCGGAGAGAGCGAGAGAGAGATAGAGATGTCATAGATATTCCAAAAACTCGTATCGTTTCTCAACTAATGCAAGATACGTATACCATTCTTCAGCTACTCGTCGCGTTACCGTTTGCGTTCCGATGAAACACCGTTGCGTAATCATCATGTTTTGTATCTTTTTTTTTTCTCTACTAATCGATAGATCTGATTGATGTACGTAACGCGGTGTCGATTTCATCCGAACGCATTCTAATGGAACACAGAAAGCCGACGTTAATCGGGCGAACCGGTTACTCACGTGAATAACAATATCGGGCCTACGAGTTAGTTACGTGTATTAGGCCGCGCGATCATATCTCGGCGCCGCGGTTTCTTAACGCCTCTTTTCCTGATGATCATTTAGCAAACTCACACATTAACGAGCGTTGTCGAACGTTAGTAAAAGGTTATTACGCCGAGCGCACGATTAATGGAGTGTTGTTTAATAATTGTTTGAAGACCCCCTCTTGCATGTCATTAAAATTCTACAAAAATGGAATGATAGTTCAAGACGGACCGTTAAGGCCCTACGAAGACCCGGCTACGGTATCGTTTCTTCGCGATATTTTGGACGGCTATTTCCCATCTGAGTTGCAAGAGGCCTACCCGGAGGGAGTACCCTTCAAGGTGAAAAACAAATCCGTATTTTCCAATCGTAAAAAAAAAAATGGAACGTCAGTTTGGGACCTCGATAGGTAGAGGATCACAGGAACAGAGTGTTCTTGAACCCTGCCGATTTTCCTGGTCAAGGTTACCGATTGGGAAAGTACCAGCACGCGGCTGATACCGCGCAGCTGACGTCTAGACCTCGCAGGCCAATGACCATACAAAGAGCGGCCCGGCGCAGCTCACTGTCAAAAGACAATCTGTCCGCTTACGATTTCTCCTCGCCGTTGATGCCTGCCACGGCCAGGTACGACGAGACTCGAAATTACATTTGCATTTGATATAAAAAAAATTTGATCAGGTCGCAGAAAACGAAAAGCCCTTCGGAAGCTCCGCCGATGGAGATGTACGTCCTCCGCTCTCAGATCCTCGCGTCGCACAATAATATTTGTTCCGACACGCACCTGCAATCACATATCAACGCTGAGCTAGGCTTGAGCAGTCGGAAGGATAAGGTATACATTATACAACGAATTCCAAGAACTATTCGAGTTTCGTAACGTTTCTGTGGTTTCATAAGCGAGACATGGCTATAAGAAGCTCCGACTTTGAGACCTCGACGCGTGACAGTACTATAAAATCCAAAGGCGTCATGAGATTCCCCAGCTCCGGCAGATGTTACCACAGTTCCACTGACAGATCGTCTAAACTGTCGCCAAAGTAAATTTCGTTCACGAGAGTCAAACATTTGTACATTGTTTAACGACGACTTCTCAATCAGTCGATTAGAGAATCCCGAGGATCGTATAAGGCAGCGCGCGAGATCGGCTAGCTTACCGAATTCACGGTTGTCCATAACGTCGAGATCGATACCGCGGACGAACGTAGAAAGTCCGCTATTCCCGACTTCCCAATCGCAACCGAGTACGACGAAGAAGAGCCAACGTTCCACGAAATCAGCCGCGCCAGTCAGAAAGAATGCAGTGAGACACGATTTAAAACCTCCCCCTCGATAAAACCTCTTTGCTCATACGTCATTCAATCGATTGTTTCAGCCTCCGATTTTGCATCAGATCAATGAACCTAGCGGAAGAGCGGGCGAGCTACGGCTGAAGGTCAGGTCTCTAAACGGTGGTACCGTCTATTTGGTTCACGTATCCGCCGACGAGCCGATAGCCCGACTTTACCAGTTGCTAGACAGAGCCATGGCGAGGTCCGTCCCACGGGGATACAAAATTGTTCTCAGCGGGTAAGCAGCTCGCTCCACGGAGACGATCGAATTATTGATAAAGTCACTGACGAGGTTTTTAATCGAAGAGTACCCGATGCAATTCCAGTTACTCACCGAGGAGACTGGAACAGCTGGGCACGACCTTACGGGAAATCGGCGTCACCAGGGACAGCGTTTTGCATTTAGTGAACGACTGATTTACCCGAACGATTCGCAGCATCCTTCCGCGTTTTTTTGTTATTAAAAAAAAAAATTGTAAAAACAATCTCGTGGGAAATACATAATAACGAACTGAACCGACGGAGTGCTTTATCGCTGCAGGATAAACAAGTCTGCGGTGAGACCTCGTTTCGCAATAGCTGGTAAAAGAAGTCCCCGTCCTCGGTTTATCGTTCCGGGATATGAGCTGTCGGCACAGAATTTCGTAACCCTACGCTGTTTGCTCTATTAATGCCGTGGAATTGATACCATAAATATTCGGGGTGAATACAGCCCAATGTGTACAGTAATTAACCCTGGGACAGCGAGTTCCATTACCTTGGGGCTCCATTGATTTATGTCTCGCCTATATTGGTCACGGGATTACTAAGTACACGTGCTTAATTAATGGACTTGTGAAATTCATCGTTTCTTTAAAATTTCAATCATTACTTTGCAAAGCTATTAATTTTTTAAATAATAATAATAATAATGCAAGCATTTCAACGGCAAGCATAATAAATAATTTGTCAACTGGATAAGAATGATAAATTGCACACTTTTCGTTAGATTCTTCATGCGTACTTTTCATTCCTCTGAAAACTACGGACTCGTCACGATTTGATTCTCAACGAGAAAGGAACTTTTTAAGGAAGCGCCGACTGTTCGTGACGTTGATGTCTCATTACTAGTTCCCAACGAAGCCCGTGTCCCTTCGTGGAATATGGCTGATTCTTCCGCCACAATGGCAGGGCGCACGCGGTTCGAAAATCGAATTCGAGCGCGACCGATAATGGAATATTCAACAGTCGTGCACCCACACAAACTTTTCAATGCGTTCGTCCCGCGGTCGAAAGGATTTCTCACTCGTTACACGAACAAATTGTAACTGACAAAAGTAGAACCCATCGACGGAAACTTTCCAACCATGGAGGTGAATTCTACCATTCACATTCGCCAAAGTTGCTCCTTGTGATCTAATTCCATGTTTCACGGGTGATATTGAAAGCTGAGAGCGATTCAAATCAGTTTACGCCGTATTTGTGGTAAAAAGGTTATTTTATTAAATAATATAAATTAAAAATCAATTCTGATTTGTTAAAACAGAAAATTGAACGCACTAAATAAGTTGGAAATTAAAAAGTTTAATGGAACGTAAAAATGATTGTTTCAAATATTTGACTTTATTTTATCGTCGTATAGAAATGTTACATAAATAAAAATCAGGCTGACCGTTCAGAAATGGCCAGGGGTTTAAAAATATTTGACCCTGATAACGAGGTGCTCCTGGTCAACGTTCCAAGCCGGTCCTCGTATTTCACTCGACTGATAACGCGGCAGCCTTCCGGGAAAGTTACGATGACCAGTCGGAAACAAGAAGTTCATCGACTGCCACTCGAGAACGTGAAAGCGTCTCATTCACGCAGATACTGAACACAGTGACCCAAGCGTCACCCTAATTTTATACGACCTAGGTCCCCGTTAATGTACACAGAAGACCCTTGGAATTACCGAAAAAAAAATTGTAGATAGCTGAATGGCCGGGAGATAACGGTCGTCGTAAAAACGCCTCGAGCGATACGTTACGCTCGATTTACTTGACCTACGGTAGAAAGAAGCACGAATGCTTTTTTTTACATCTCGTTATAGGGTTGGTTAGCAGATAAGTCCAGTTAAGTAGAGCCTATCTGCCTAAACCTACGGAATCATTCTAACAAAACGAGACCGTTTCGTAACTTCGTTATCGTTCGTTATTCTCCTAATTTTCTTGTAATCTATAGATATTACAATGAAATAATACCAAGCTACTTCCATATCAATTGGAATAATTTGTTTTCAATAAAAATATGTTCAATCTCTTGAATTACAGTTTGAGTCCTCCATTCACTTCATATTTTCCAATCTCTCTTTCATTTTATGAAAGGACATTTGATTAAACTGAAAGCTCGATCTTTCCGCTTTTATTGACAGAAAATGTGTGGAAATATCTACTCCTCTATCATTTTTATCAATATCCTATCAATCTCACGGTTAAAGAGCCCGGGTTCTTCTATATAATCCAGTGACGAACAACAAGGGCCTGCGTTCGTCAATTAACATGCAAATCGAGAGCCCTTCGTAAGCTCTCCAGGGATCCTTATATTTAATCAGCCGGAATTTTCTCCACGCGTTATCTCGTTTCTGTTGACTACCCGTTGTCGCAAGTCTCCAGGGTCGAAACTTTCGCCCGATCTTGCCTGATTAAAAGCGCCTCCAAATAAAATTCCCTCGATGAGCAACGCGGTTGCTTATAACAGAAGAAGAGATTTCGACAAAATACCCAAGCCCCTTCGTACAATTAATATAAAAATTGTGAAACGTCGATCGACTCTCGACAATAAATCACCGACCGGTGTCTAATTGTAAAAAATCTCGCGTCTCCGGAAGCTCCGAAATTGACAGCCGGTTCGTTCAACGCAGACTCTCTATTTCTCATTTCTTTTCCCGTCGAACGAGATATATTAAATCCTTCATCGGAGTTGAAT